TATACCTAAAATGTCCCAATTAAATAAAAATTAAAAAAATTTAAAAGAAATACCTGACAGTTTTGTATTAAGTAGATACACTGCAAATAGTTGTAGTTGCTAACATAGTCCAACAGATGTCACTGTGCTCCCCTCATAAAAATAAAACTACACAGAATCCCTAGAATCTCGGAGGGACCCCAAGGTACAGCAACACACCGTTTGAGCTGCAGCCTAAATGGAACATTTTCCTGGCATAATATCCAAATAAAATATCTCAAAGGGCTTTTGATAGGATGATCACGCAGCAAAGTAGATGGTGGCTTCCATAAATTTAGTCACTTTTTACATCATTTAGTGCTGTTTTCATATGTTTATTATTGCTTATGCAACAGGCAGGCATACTGAACATTTTTATCTGTAAAGAGGGAGAGCAAATGTTTGAAGCTTTTTCACAGCAGATGATCTCTATTGTCTATTTCTTCCTTTTCCCTTCTCCATCTCTTTCCCCTTCTCCATCTCTTTCCCCTTTTTCTTCCTCTTCTCTTCTTCCTCTCTGCCCCACTCACTGCTTCTGCTGTGTCTCTCCCCTCTCTCCCCCTCCCTCCACCTTTTAAACATGTGAAACCCATTCTTATCTTCTGAATTTGACCCACAATGTTTCGTAGTTAAAAGCCTATAATATGATGTTAAAATGCAATTCAGAAAAGCTGATTTTGCAAGGTTGAATCCTCTGTATTTTCATATCTTTCTAGTCCAGGGAAGGATGCAGAAATACATTTTTGCAAGGAATACTGGCAGGGCCTACTTGATTTCAAAGGTAACACAAATAGGTTTTTCAAAAGCCCTTTATCATCTTTTTGCTAATTCCTGTAAATGGCTGAGTTTCTGTAATTATAATAAGGCAATCCTAAATTTACATTAGTCAATAAATAACTTGGTAAAAATATGCAATTTGAGATTTCTAGCTCATATCCAAAATTTTTCTAAGTTTTCTTGAAACTATGCATTGGGGTTAAGTCTGCACCGTCTTATATTATTCAAAAGGCAATAAATATTACTGGTAATAGAGGTCTCAAGAAAACCAGGAAATTCCTCTGGGATATTCCCAATTCACAGTAAAATAAGTACACCACATAGATCCTTCCAAATTACAGTCTCATACGGCATCTACCATACAAATGTTCTTTCACTGATGCTTTCCCAAAACTTAAGTCAGTACCTCTCTTCTATATCACGAGCACCCTGAAATTATCAAGGGTCACATTTTCTAAGTAAATTTATTCATGAGAGTTTGGCTCATTCTTTTCCCAGAAAGACACTGAAACTCCACAAAAGCAGAGCCTGTCTGTTAATCATACTATTCTCAAGCACACAAAACGGTGCCTACTGCCTATTCAATCAATATTTGTGAATTTAAAGATCGAGGACCCAATTACATTCAGAATCATCATTAGAAACATCCCTTTAACCTCTCCTCATCCGGAAAACTGGAATATTTCTACCTGTCTCTGCCTGTTGGGCAAGGAGCTAGAATCACTTGCAAGGATGCGTTCATTTGCTTTTGCAAAAGCAAGATGCGCACTCGTCCAGCCACCCCAGGCCGCTCAGGACAGCTGCTCAGCTACCTCCACGTCACCCCGTTACATAAGGGGCCCGCCCGTCCGGTGTCCTCTGGAATCCCTGATCCTGCGTCAGGCACACTTCGGCCCAAGGACGCCCTCGGCCTAGGGTGACAGGAGCCCAGGTGGCGAAGGGCGGGGCCTGGCCTAAGACCAGGGGCTGTGGCAAGAAGGGCTGGGGGGAGCAGCGGTTGGGGGCGGAGCCCGGCGCCCCACTCGTCCCGGCCGATTCGAACGTGACCTTGTTTGGCGTTGCTAGGAGACGCGGAGCGCGCGCCCCCTACTGGCCGGCGCTGGCGCGACGCGCGGGGAGGGGGCGGGGCCGCGGCGCGTGAGGAGAATGGGCAGCACCGTTAGCGCGGCCTGGCGCCGGCGCCCGCTGACGCCCGCCGGGCCTCGCTGGTGTCCGAGCGGCGGCGAGAGACGCCAAGCGGGACGCGAGGCGAGCGCGTCAGGTGAGCAGTGCGGGCGGGGTGGCCACGCTTTGGCGGGTCGCAGGCCGGCCCGGGCCGCGGGACAGGTGGACGGAGCCCGCCGCTGGGCTGGCGGAGCACGGGCTGCCCGGAGCGGCCCGGGTCGTTTGCGCCTGAGCGCCGGGCGCCGCCCCTGAGTAGCCGCGGTCGGCAGACGCAGGGTTAATGAAGGCGCCGGCGGCGACTGCGGGCCCCGGATGTGCGGACTGCGGTGCGACGTCTGAGGGCCGCGCCGCAGGTGCGCGGGGCGACCTGACAGCCTCGCTTGCGGTCCCCGGTAGAGGCCGCGCGTCGCTCCCTCCGAGGCCGCCCGGTTTTCTAACTCAAGGGCAACAGGTGGTGCCTGTGGACCGACCCTGCGTCCTGCGCCGCGCGCCGGGAGTGGCAGTTGCCCTGGCCAATGAAGCCACGGAGGCGGGGTGGCGTGGCTGCCCAGGCGCGGGTCACCAATAGGATGGAGGATTATGGGTGGGCCGGAAGGAGTGGGCGTGGCCAGAGTCTGATTCCTAGGTTTGCAGCGCAGCAACTGCCAGAGCTGCGTGGAGGTCTGAGCTGAGCGGGCGTGGGGTGCCTCCCTCCCACGAGAAACGTCTGCCAATGCTTTCTCATTAGGACACAGACTCCGATTTTGGAGGTGAGAGCGTTTTTATTTTAGGGGGTGAGGTGGGGCATGTAATAGTGATCTTGGGTCTCCTGTTAAACATGTGGGAGGAGATCCTCCAAGGTAAGATTACCTTTTATTAATTTTCTGCCAAAAATAAAAGGGTGCGTGTGTGCGGAGGTTAGACTTCTGTGGTCACGGCGACTTGGAGCAGATTTTGGTGACTGGGTTGTCTTCAGAATAAGGTCTCTGAGGTTTGGAGATCGAGGGCAGTATATAGAAGTACACACTAAAACAGTTTGAATCAGAGAATTTGGGTTGCAGTTATTCCAACGTTTGTCTTGTATTGCCTACGTTTCGTGTCTCATGTGGTTTGTTTACTGAATCAAGTTTTATCAAGCTCCTCACATTGCTCTTTTAGCAAAAATAGACATGTTTTAATGTATTATTTCACAAGAATAACTTACTCGTTTCTTTCCCAGCAGTCTTGTAGCTGGATCACCTAGGAAGAGAAATTCTAAAGCAGTAAGAAAGTGTTTCAGTTTGGAACACTTATATGCCCCTGGAAATGGGGAATGGACTGTCAGACCAGACGTCTATCCTGTCCAGCCTTCCTTCCTTTCAGTCCTACCACATTGTTATTCTGGGTTTGGACTCTGCTGGAAAAACAACTGTCTTATACAGGTTGCAGTTCAATGAATTTGTAAATACTGTACCCACCAAAGGATTTAACACTGAGAAAATCAAGGTAACTTTGGGAAATTCTAAAACAGTCACTTTTCACTTCTGGGATGTAGGTGGTCAAGAGAAATTAAGGCCACTGTGGAAGTCGTATACCAGATGTACAGATGGCATAGTGTTTGTTGTGGACTCAGTTGATGTTGAAAGGATGGAAGAAGCCAAAACTGAACTTCATAAAATAACTAGGATATCTGAAAATCAAGGAGTCCCTGTACTTATAATTGCTAACAAACAAGATCTGAGGAACTCACTGTCTCTCACAGAAATTGAGAAATTGTTAGCAATGGGTGAACTGAGCTCATCAACCCCTTGGCATTTGCAGCCTACCTGTGCAATCATAGGAGATGGACTAAAAGAAGGACTTGAGAAACTGCATGATATGATAATTAAAAGAAGAAAAATGTTACGGCAACAGAAAAAGAAAAGATGAATATTGATACCTTTTAAATCTATATGGAGTAGGTTTTCTCTGGTCTGATTTTGACACATTGAAGAGTATCTACAGCCTGGTTTGCCTGTTTGCCCTCCTGGATACTATTAAAGCTTTGTTTTGTTGAACAGTCAGATGCCCACCTCTGTTTCCTTGTGGAAGATGAGCAAATGCAGTGCTTCTTAAAGTGGTCTTTTCTCCCTACCCCACAAGTCTTCTGGTACTACCATTTTGGGAAGGCAAGCAAGGATAGTCAATTGACCAGAAAACAGTTGTGGAAATTTGATCTGAAGTTACTGAAATAAAACTTTGAAGAGTGTCTGTTAGTGTTTTGTGCTTGTATCTTTTAGGGGGAAGCCTTTGCAAAGAAATTGCCTACAAGGCTTTGTATGTTAAGATAAAATGCTGGATGGAAATGTTAAGGTAGATTAATATGCATACACACACATACACGGACAGTTACATTGCTCTATATTGATTGTGCTGGGACAAGAGGAAGTGTTTGCTGTTTTAAGTTTTGACCAGATGTTTTTTAACATTATCTAGAATCAAATAATACAATCTCTTAATTCTAGAGATTTTTTTTTAAGTTGGTCTAACTTTAATAAAAATAAAGTGTTTGAGGTATATTCAAGTGCATGGACTAGTCTTGACAAAGCATGTTTTTATGTGTAGTTTACTTTTTAGGAATAGCTATGCATCTTCCTCTAGTTTTAAAACAACGTTTTTGGGATTTGAGGCTAATATAGAAATAGTTTGTTGTCAGAAGCACTTTCACACGAAGAACCTAAAATCTACTTGACTCATATAGTAAGTATGGGCATGTAGATTAATTCTAAATACATGTGCTTGGATACATATATGGATTTATGAAGAAAGCAATTGTTGAATTCAGTGAGGAGGATATATAATTACAATAAATACATGGTCTCTAATTAAAAGATACTTGGAAATATTTGCTGACTGAAAGCTGATGTGTTTTTTCATATATTTTTGTAGTGTTTTGGGAGGAGCAAAAGCTTTATAAAATAACACCCGAGATGCTGTGGAATGAAAATGTAAGATAGCTGTATGTGTTCTAAGCTTTAATGTTTTTTGTTTCCCAGCTGAACAGTGTTACTAGGCCTGTGCAGTCCTGATTATAGGAAGAAGTAGTACATTACAGCAGATAAGAATTATGATTATAGAAAATGAAAGGGAAAGTAGCAAAGCAGTTTTATGAAAATTCACTCGTGCTGTTTCTATTGTAATAAAAAGTTTAAAACTTTATAAGGAGGGAAAATCTTTATCCAGGAAGAGACTTAATTCCAATGATCATATATTGGCAAATAAATGTATTTTCTATTTGTAAAGCAAACAGCTGTTTATTCTGAAGTCATCAAGAGAAATGCACTTTGCCAGCAGGGTTTATTTAGGTTTTGGTTTTTTGATTTGTTTTTTGGTTTTCCGCTGGTACAACTGAAATTTTGGAAACTTGGTTCTTGTTACACACAAAGTAGCTTCGTGTGGCACTTTCTTGTTAAATGTACTTACACTAGTGATGATCACTTAGAATGTTTATATTTATAGAAATGTGGATAATAGCTACCAATAAACTACGCGAGGCATTAGGACAACAGTGTTTGACTTTGAGTGTATATAAATTTCTACTTTGATGCTTTTAATTAGATATATAAAAACTTTAACCAAGTGGGCTAGTTTTATAATAGTTTAGATTTTCTCAGGTGACACAGGCATCAAAGGCTGTTGCCTGCCTAAACTTTACTAGCTTTATAAACTAGTTCTATGTTGATTGTCTTGAAAATTTGTATAGCCCCTTATTTTCTAGCCTAGTAATTTTATCAGCAAACTCATGAATTTTTAATACTTAGTGAAAAAAGAAAAAAATGACATGAACATTGTACAAGTTTTATTTATGAAAGAAAATGTTTATCTATAAAACAATATTTATCACATTGGTGTCCAGATTGGTCATGAATTTTTATATTTAGTGAAAAAAGAAAAAAATGACGTGAACATTGTACAGGTTAGTTATTGAAAGAAAAAGTTTAACTATAGAACTTAACAATATTTTCAAGATTGGTGTCATGTTCTTCACCTATTCTAGCTATTAATACCATGAGCTAATAAAGGGTCTCAAAATAAATCCTAAGAGTGGTTGAGGCAGTACTTTTGTATATACTGTAGTTTGCTTTTAAAGGTGCACCTGAAATTTCTCTCTTCTCTATCTCTGTCTCTGTCCGTGTCCATATGTCTGTGTGTGTGTGTGGGGGGCTTGAAGTTAGGGCCACAGGCGTGCCAGATTCCCTGGCACCTAAAGTGTATTTATTTCTAAAATCTGACATTTGAAATTACTTAGGACTAGACAACTCCAAATTACTATCAAAGAACACAGTAAGCCACTTAAAGAGATTTAAATGTCCGAGTTGTTCTAAAATGGACTAGCAATTGTATACTTTAGTCATTATAGTTTCACTAATAACTCATCATGATAAAATGAATTAAATGCTTATTAGAAGTGCAATAGTGTAGTTATACATATATACACACACACACACACAAATTACTAGTCTAGGTAGTAGCTTATGAGCAGACAAAAAGGGATAGAACATTGTACAAGGTGTTTGACAATGGAAAAATGTCTCACTTATAATGGCCTTGAATGAAATCTGGTGTAGTGTTTGAAGGTTCTATTCAGTAGTTTCATCATTAATACAAACTGATTTTATCAGTGATAATAAAAGATGCCCAATAAATTTCTTCAAGTTCAGATGATGTAAAACTTAGTATTTAGCTAATACAACTTAGAATCTTGAGTATGCTATCACTATGGATGGACAGAGGGGAGGCTGCTGGAGGTTTGAGTTTTACTTTTAAATTTAGCAGAACATTCTGGAAATGGATAGTGGTGATGTAGAATAGTGGGATGTTTAAATGAAGCCTTTGTGTGAATCAGTGTGGGATGCCAAACTAAAAATTTAAAGTTAATATTAAAATATTTGAAGGTCATATATAATAGTGTCAACAAACCATAACCAGAATATCTAATTCTGTGCATGCAAGTTGAAAATATCGAATCTCCAATAGAAGACTGGTATAGAAAAATACTAAATGTACTGGCTAAAAATAGCATGAGTTTTTAAATCAGAGTAGTGTTCAATCCTAGCTCTCTCAGTTACAGATGTGACTTTTTAGCAAGTTTCTTGAAACTTACAAATGTTTTCCTGGTAAAATGAAAGCTGTCATGTACAACTCTGAGGGGATTAAATGCCATAATGTTTATAAACTAACATTAATTCATAAAAACTCAATAAATGGTACCCACTATTAGTAGGAACCACTATATTGAGAAGCTTGTGGTATTGTTGATAATTGCTCTAAAAGTCCATATTTCAATACTGAATCCTCACTTAACTACTTTTATATTGGGAAATTTTATATGCTTTCAACCTTAGTTTCTTCATTTGTAAACTGAAGATTACACTTACTATTTTAAAACATTACATGAAACTAGCAGAATATCTGACACATAGTAAGCATTTAGTAGATAGTTACTAATAGCCAGGCTATTTTCTTTCTTTCTTTTTTTTTCACTTTATTGAATTCTTTTATTGGTACATTGTAGGTATACAACACAATTACATTTCTCATTGGGAATTGTATCTTTACATAATGGATCTTGGTTCTTATTTTTTCCCCATTCCTAGCCCTCCCTTCACCCCCTCCACCCTTCCCTATTTACAAAGACTTTATTTCCATTTCTCATCA